GGGAACTGAACGCGCACCGCTACGTGCAGGAAGAAGCGGCCCGTCAGGCTGCTGTGTCACCATGTGCGTGTCTCCTCCCCAAGCAAGGCCTCTCTGCACTGTGGGCAACCTGCTTTGTTATTGTTGTTATTGTTTTTATTTATTTATTTTTTAAATCTCCAAGTTCTGCATTGCTGGGCTTCCTAACCCCGAGGTCTCCTCTGCTGCCCTGAGCTACTCGGAGGACGGATGGGCCAAACCAATAAGATCTGGGTCTGGTTGGGTAGTGCTTGAGATCATAGGCACAGGTTGCAAGGACCCTTCCTGAGTATCGCACCCGTGGAGTTTGTGTTGAGGAGTTGCCCAGTTTTCTAGCCAACAGCAGATGCTGGCAAAAAAACAACACCACCACAAGTGAATTTTTTGACAAAGGGGCTGTATCTGAGCAGAGGTGAGAAGTAACCCTTAGCAACCAGACAGGCTTTTGTGCAGCTGTTGCGACAACGCAGGTGGCACTTCGTACCTGTTGACTAGGAGAATATTTCCTGGTTATATATGTAGGTCAAGTCAAGCGTGCAGTGAAGGAAGTGGGCAACTGAATGGCTGCCACCGAAACTTTTTTTTTCCCCTTGAGGAATCTGGTTGGTGGGAAGAAGGTTTCCTGCTGGGAACAGTTGGAGCCTTCTCTGTCGATAATGCAGGGTTGGGATTTAATTCTGTGGTTTGACAAGAAAAACATACTTTAACATTTTCCAGGACAGTCCTAAAAGTATCCAGGGGCATTTAGAAGGACATGAAAGTAGCATTAAATAGATGTGTGCTTTGAAAAGCAATTTGTTCAGCAAGTACTGTTTTGAGTATAAAATAATTACTTGATGCTTCTGCAACCCTTGGGTGACTCTGGAATGATCAGTTGTTGAGTTGTGTTAGGGTTATTGGCTGTGTGCTAACTTGACATCCCTGTTTTGGGATGGAAACTTCCCTGTTTCCAAAACAGACATGCCGGATTATGTTGTTCTGGTTTTGCTGTTTAGACGCTTTTAGCTTAATGTGTGGGATTAGACTGCTAAAGGATCTGGTCATTCATGTGCACACATCTTCCTTTTCTCTGTGGCTTTCTTACACTTCTACTAGAGTGGTCCGATGTAGGTTTTGGTCTCTGCCTTGCTTCTCAGAGTGCAACAGTGCTCACCCCCTTCTGTTTAAGGGATATAGCATAGTTTGGGGCGCTGGGTGGGGACAAGCTTGCCAGGCTTCTGTTGCCCTGCATTGCATCTCATTTGTTGCTGTAATAAGATTGGAAAGGATTTAGGAATTGAGGATTTGCAGGGATGGAGCATGATAAGCCAGTTTGCATTGCTTTGGAAGGTTAACTCTTTGTTGCCCATTACCCTTCTCTTTTTTCCTCCAAGTAACGATTTCCAATACTGGAAAAGTTACTGTTTTGATTCTATTGTGCTTTCAATTTCATAATGTGTCTTAATAAAGCCTGTCAGGTTCAGCTGTGGTCTCCTAAACAGAAAATGTTTTGTTTTTCTAGCTGTGTCTCACTCAGCACCAGCCTTCTGCGGAGAGTTTTCATTAGCTGAAGATAGGTCTGTGTTGGTGCAGGTCCAGATAGAATACTTGCTACAAAAATTACACTGTATTAATTAATCTCTCTCCTTCTGCATGCTGAGATGTAGATCCGATGTGAAGGAAATTAGTTCCAGGGAACAGCAAAAACCTTAGCATGTTGTAGCAAGTCAAGAAAAGGAAGGTTCAAATATCTTTCTTTAACATGTACTTGGAATGGATTTAAATGTAATCATATCTCTGTTGCTAATTTGGGATCTTATATCTTTTAGCTTTTGCTCCCTTGTCTTTTAAGCCTCTGTTTCCATTTGTTTTTCCCTTTGGGGTGGGTGTGTAAGGGAGTAGATTTAATCAGGTCATTATTTACTTAAACATAATCTTTTGTGAGTGGGGTGTGTGTTCATCTTTAAAGGAGCGTTTTAACGTATGAAAATGAAATGCCTACCTTAGGGGTGTGACTGAAACTGCAAACACTCATAATCACACTGCTCCATTTGTGTACAGAACACCAACAGGGATGTGGAACGTGCTTATTAATCTTTTGACCACATTTTTGAGGATCTGTTATTGGATATGTGGGAAAATACTAGCTTTTCCATAAAGACAGTTTTGAGACGTAAAACTGTAAATAATAAAGTGGAAACCATACTGCAGTTATGTGTCCTTCATGTAGAACAGTTCAGGAAGAATACCCATGTCATGCTTTATTTTTCGTAGCATACAGAATTATGGAACAAAAATTATATTTTTATTAAACAATAGTAATCTGTGTTGCATGGAGTTGTCATTTCTGTTGTAGCAGCTTCTAAAGGTTCCTGGCATATTTTTGTCCTGCCCTTCATCCAAAGAGCTCTGTGTGACATATATCATTCTCCCCTCTCCCATTTTATTCTCACAACAACCCTGTAAAGTATTTAAGGCTGAGACTGTGTGACTGTCTCAAGGTCACCCAACAAGCTTCATAGCAAGGGGGAATTTGAATCTGGGTCTCCTAGATCCTATTCAGTCTAACCACAATGCCTCATGGTTTCTCAAGTAAGAGGTGACTTTGTTAAAAAAAAGCATAGTTACTGTGATTAATTGAATTATTTATTACAGTAAAAAAAAAACCAGCATGAAAATGAATATTTGCTGTGATATAGCTACATGACATAGAAATTGGGGTATGTTTTTATATTTACTTTGTAAAGACTGTTTGTGGTAACCGAGAAACAAACTGTGTGGAACAGATAAATTAGAGTGTTCTTTCGAATAAGTAGTTACGGTTTTCAAAATTGCAAGTAATAACACTGCATAGCACAAGTAGAGTTCTGTTTGTTGAGAATACTTTTGTAAAGATAACAATATTCCAACATGCATAATTTCAGCTTTAAGTATCTAATTATTTTAGCTTTTAACCTCTCCCTAAGCTTTGGAGCAAGCCACAGCATAATAATTAGGGTGTTTTGTTTTTTAAGTATTGTCTGGCAGAGTGTGCAACATGTCAATGCGATACAGCCACACACTGGCCTCGCAAATGGTTAGCATTCTATTAGTTGCACTTGCCACGGTGTACCTCTTGCTTACTGTCCGAGAACTGCTCTGGTCTCCCCCCCCCCCCCCCCCCCCCCTTCAGGCTGCCACCTTTTCTTTCTGGCTCTGCTGCTGTGCCTTCAACCGCTGCTCAATTTGCTGTAGCGAAACAAACAAAAGTTTGTCCTCAGCATGGAGGTGAAGTAGCTAGATGCCTGTTTAATGCCTGTGTGTCACGTTACTGGTGGAGACACGGGGCTGGGGGTGGGAGCAGGAGTCTGCCTCTTTTTGGATACCAACACCTGCCAGGAACAGCCCATTGACAACCACTTGCTTACATTTTGCAGATGCCGTGTTGCCTGGGACGGTATTGTAATTGCTCCTTGGCACAGGGGGCTGGGAGAGCAGCAACTGTGACTTCTTTGAGCAGTTGCCTCCTGTATATACATCCTGCAGGCACTGAGTGCAAGTTTAGAAAAAATGGCTACTCCTAGGGTTGCCAGGTCCCCCCTGGCCACTGGCAGGGGACGGAGGGATAGTAATGCCGGATCCAGGTTGGGAAACTCCTGGAGATTTGGGAGTGGAGCCTGGGAGGACAGGGGCTTCCATGGGGTACAGTGCCCTAGAGTCCATCCTCCGAAGTATCCTTTTTATCCAGGGAGACTGCTCGCTGTAACCTGGAGATGAGCTGTAATTCCAGGGGATCCCCAGGTCCTACCTGGAGGCTGGCATCCCTACAGCAGTGATGTTTTCAGTTATTATAAATGAACAAATATAAGGCCAACAGTCGTGATAGTCTGACCCGCAATCAACAGTCATAAGACTTATAAGAATTGCTGTACATGTATTGTGCTCTGAAGCATTACAATATGATACACAACTTAATAGAATTTATAAACCAAGGTACAACGTCGTCTCCGGATTATTTACCAACGTTTCAAAAAACGAATCTTCTTCAGGAGATATTCTGTAGTACACAAAAATGCAATTTTTAGACTATGTATAACACCAATCACAAGAAACAAGAGACAATACAATAATCTTATTGCTTACTTACATAGAGGTGCCAAAGCTCTCATTTCTCAGTTAGACAACAAGTCTTAAGCATCTGCAACATAATAATTTTATCTTTGTTATGAACACATATAAGATATTTCAAAATATTTCAAATTACAACTAATCAACCTAGTAGTAACTCACATCACAGTTCAGATAGGACGCTGATCTCAATTAACACGCAGTGTTTTTTTTCTGGATCCTGGATCTTATGACTGTTGATTGCGGGTCAGACTATCACGACTGTTGGCTTTATATTTGTTTATCTGTTTTAGTCGTGTGTGTTCAATTATTATAAACACATGAATGGTACATATGGCTGAAAACGCCTTGTTTAAAAAAAAACTTGTCAAACAATACTACAAAGCTTTGAGGTCTCCATATTTTTAAAGGTATCTGGCTCAAGGATAGATAAACCAATACAACAGCCTTGTACAAATGAATAAAAATAAGCTGGCCCCGAATATCTAGCGTTGAGATCGAAATGCAAGGGGCGAACCATTTACCTGCTGATTAAAAAATCTAATCTACCTAGGGCTGTCAGGCTAGTGCTGATCTGCGTAGTTCATTAATGATCTTGGGAGGAGCAGCAACAGTCATTGCGAAGTTTAATGTGGCTTGGCTTAAGCATTTGGAAGGCCTCTCTCCTAACTCTGTTGTGGTGACTCTGTCTCTCTCTCTCTCTTTCTAAAAATACCAGCAGTCCAGAATTCATGGTGAATTCAGGCATCGCAAATGAAGGTGCTTGTCCAAACAAATTTTGGATACAGATTTCACTTACAAGATCAGAAACAAGTCTGAGAAATGTATCTGAGGAAGTGCGCATGCACACGGAAGCTCATACCTTGAATCAAACTTTGTCGATCTTAAAGGTGCCACTGGACTCAAACTTTGTTCTGCTGCTTCAAACCAACCACGGCTGCTCAGCTGGATCTAAAATCAGAAACGGTAAGTAACATTTTGTTTATTAACCTAGGAAGAGCAGTGAGAAGAAATTTGTTTGGAGAGGAAGAAATTGTGATATAAGTTGGTGGAGTAGTATCTCTGCACCTCTCGTGACTTGTCTTGGTCTGCTTCATAACAGGAGCTGAAGAGGGTGAATCTGATTTATGTATATCTTGCTAAGGCAAGGAACTGTGGCAAAATTCAAGAGAGCAAAGTTGGTCTTAACTGTGAACCATAGTCAGATAGAGGTCAGATGTTGGGACCCTAGCTCTTGTTTCAGAAGCTGAAGTCTGTCTTTATCGCTTGAGAGTGTTATCTTGGAAACTTTCCCCCCACTGAATTAGCAGATTTGCTTCTGAGTATCTCAGATCATATAAGGGGACTCATTTCCATTGCTTGTGTCTCAGACCATAGGTTTCCCAGCAGAACTGAATGAACCCAATGCTTCTCTAGCAGAACCCAATGAAGCTGATGGGCAGTAGGTTCAGGATGGACAAAAGGAAATACTACCTTTCACTGAGAGTGATTAAAATGTGCACTTTGCTGCCAGAGGATGTAGTGACAGCCACAGGAATAAACAGCTTTAAAAGAGGCTTAGCTAGATTCATGGAGGATAAGTTTATATCAATGGCTATTAGCCATGGCGATGGGTTGGGGGGAGCAGGGAATCTCTAAGTCACTAAGAGTCACTAAGCCTCTGAATCCCAGAGCCAGGAGGCAACATCAGGGGAAGGTCTATGCCCTGTTGTTGGCTGTCCAGAGGAACTGGTTGGCCACTGTGAGACAGGATGCTGGACTAGATGGACCACTGGTCTGATCCAGCAGGGCTCTTCTTACGTTAACCCTCCGTGTCAGCAGGCATATCATGCAGGCAGGTTGTTGTCCTAGAGGGTAGTGGGTAGCAGAGGGAGATCCTCTGCTCTACAACTCAGCACATAGGCGATTCGAGCATAGGAAATTTTCAGCAGGTTAGATTGACTCTGGCCTGGGTGCGTTTTGCCTTCCTATGCAGCTTTTGACCTGACTGGTGTGTGTGAGCAGTTTGCATGGTGAGCAGCTTTCTGTAGCACTCTTTGCTCTTATTACACCTCAGAGTGTGTGCAGAGAGACAATGTGGTGTAAGTGGTTAGAGTGCCAGACTGTGTTTTTGGGAGACCCAGGTTCAAATGTCCATGGTGCCATCAAGCTTGAAGGGTGATCTTAGGTCAGTCACTGCTTATCAGCAGAATCACCCTCGCAAGAGTCCTTGAGAAGTTAAAATGAGCGGGGGCGGGGGAAACCATGTAAGCTTCCCTAAGCTGTTGGGAGGAAGAAGATTAAAATGTGCTAGGTAGATTTCGTGTGGGTCAGTGTGCAAGTGTTGTTGGATGGGTGCTTCTGACATAGTGTGGGGGAGCAGATGGCAGCAGTGCTTGCAAACTGGCCCTGCACAGCGTTGGAAATGACATGACTCTGGGGTAGCTGTGATCCTTCTCAGAGGTGAATATAAGTGCCTGGTTTCAAGTAGGAATGAGATCTTGAGCCATTCCAAAACCACATTCCCCATCTCACTCTCTCTCTTTCAGAAGGGTAGTGTCCCCGTTCCCCACCTCATCATTGTTAGGAAGGAAGTTCACTGTTTCACTGTTCACTGTGAAATCTTAATGAAAAAAATATCCCCATAAATTCTCTTCTAGATCCTGTGTGTACCGATACTGACTAGATGGCTGTTCTGCTGTCGCTTTTCAAATCGTGATTAATAGCCATTGCACAAGAGGGAAACATTTGTGCTGTATAGCAATTTATAAATTAAAACTTAAACCAGCTATAATTTTTATACCGTAAAAAACTCCTGATATAATTATAACAAGATGACAAGCTAGCCTGTATAACATTACATAAGATGATTCCTGTGGTGCCGCTGATACTTCTTTATGGAATGAGTGATTAAAGTTGGAATTGGTGGCCAGAAGATGTAGTGATAGCCACAGACACAGATAGCTTCAACAGGGGATTAGACAGATTCATGGAAGATAGGTCTATCAATCACTACTAGCCATGGTGAGCAAATGGAACCTCCACCTTTAGAGGCAGTGAGCCTCTGAACACCAGAGCCAGGAGGCAACATCAGGGGAAGGCCTTAGCCACTATGCCCTGTTATCGGCCCTTGAGAGTAACTGGTTGGCCACTGTGTGAGACCGGATGCTAGACTAGGTGGACCATTTGTCTGATCCAGCAGGGCTCTTCTTATGTTCTTATTTTGTGCAGCCAACTTCTAACTGCACTGTCAGTGCTAAGAGAGCTACTATGCATAATGACAATACAACATTTAATTAGGAGTGCATCCAAAATTAATACGGTGTGCCAGACTTAGACTTCATACTTCTGCTTGGGTAGATTTTGTGTGGGTTAGTGGGTCTGCATTTTATATGGTAGATGCTTGTCTCATCTGTCCTTGTTAACCTCACAGAGAGGCAGAGAATTCCCTTTTTAAGGACTGGAAATCGGGCCTGCGATTTGTGTAAACATACAGAAACCAGAAGAGAGTGGCATTTGCTGCACTGGACAGAGAGCACCCTTGTTTGGGGCTGTGGTTGCTGCCCCGGAGGCTGTTTCTGCCGCTTGTCCCGGGGCTTATCCTGAGGTGAGGTGCAAAGATAACGACTTAGAAAGGCAGTTAAATGCATTTGTCAATTATTGACTGGCTGTGAGTGGTTTTGTTTGAGGGCTCAGGCAGTGTCATTTTACTTCATATGATGGCATTAGCAAATTAAGCCAGCATTTCAGAGGTCACAATTCTTTATGAATTACTTAAATTTGGTTTTTTTTAAATCCTTTTTTTGGAAATGGTGTGATCTGCTTTTATGGTCTTAATGATGCCACTCCTGCAACTTTCTAGAACTGCATGCTTCTCAAATCTTCTGGAAATGTCAACACGATTGTTTATGGAAGGAACTCTTTGCTGTGTCAGTCAGGTGCTGCCTTGAAAGTTTTAATGACGTTTTTTAACTTCCACCAGAACAAATACGGTGATGCAGACTGACCTTGCAAATTAAGAAGACGGAGAAGGGTCAGACTCCGACTCCTGATCCCCCTTCCTCTTTTCTTTCCAACTGTGAACGTGAGACCACAGACCAAGAGTGTGCATGCCAGGGGCTCTGGCTACATGGTTTTTATGATGATACGGTCTTTTATGCATTTTCAGGAACAAAATGTTTTAATGACTTGTGAAAGGGTATGTATGTGATAGGCTTGGGGAGGAGAGTTGTCACAAGCTTGTACTGGGCCCACCAAAGCTACACCAGGGGTATGCATGCATCCATATTCTGTCTCTTGTGCAAGATGCACAATATGCACACGTATATATCTAGGTTGCTCTCCGTTGTTTCTGCAGTGAAGAAAATGCAGCAAAATGCTAAACCTGATGAACGGTGGCATTATTCAAGCACAAAGCATTTTATAGGCTAGTGCCTACTTCCACAGCTGCAGATACAGATCTGCAAATGTGCAGGTGTTTCTGCAGTATGTATGTGATATTTTCAAGGAGAGTTGTTTTCAAAACGTGGTAAAGAAAATGCACTGGGTACGCAAAGTTGTCAAATCTTGGTTAGGAAATATGTGGAGATTTGGGGGGTGGAGCCTGAGGAGGGCGGGGTTTGGAGAGAGGAGGGACTTCAGTGGGGGTATAATGCCATAGAGTCCACCTCTGTCACCTGGAGGTTGGCACTCCAGTAACACACATAGCTCATGCCATGGCTTATATACCTGTTGAGCACAGTGAATGAGGCCTGTGGAATTAGGTTGGTTTCATGGTGAAGTGGTGTATACACTTCATAAATAAGCAAGGAAGAAGAGGCTGTTGTGTGAATTCTGATTTCTTGTCCTCTGAGACTGTAAGTTCATTGTCAGGAAAAGCAATAAAGAGTGTCCATCAAAGGACTCTGTACCATTTTTCTCTTGAATAGAGAAGAAGCATTTGTTCTTCCCAGTCTCTTCCAGAAAAAGATGTCGATGCTGCTGTGGTTTTTCAACTTGTAAATAATTGCAGTCTGTTTAGACCGGGTAATGAGTCATGCAGGAGGCTGCAGCTGTGCAGATGTGGGAAGAGCTGGGAGAAGGGTGGAGGTGGGGTGCCCCTGACATTGCTCTTCACTAAGGAGGAGAAATGTGTCCAGGGAGCGAGGACTCCTTGGCAGAAGCTGGTAAGTGGAGCTGAAAGACGGAAATGGGAGCGCTGCTTTGAAGGGGCTTATGAGCAAATGCTGGAAGCTGAAAAAGCAAGATGGCATCTAGGGCTCAAAGAGCTTGCTTGAATTTAATTTGCTGAATAATTTTGCACTTTGGCCTCATTCAGCGACTAAGTTGCTTGGTCGGAAGATCACTTCTGCAAATGATATATCTAGGGGTCATTTCGTAGAAAAAGAGGTGCAGGAGCTCATTAGCATAACTCATTACCATAACTTATTTGCATATGCCACACCCCCTGACATCACCGGAAGTGTGTCAGAAGGCAACACCCACTGTTCAGGCTCCACTGGACTCTTTTGGATTGCTAGCTATGGGGGTGGGGCGCAGATCTGCCCTCACAGAGGAGGGAAAGCTTGTATCTGAATAAACCTTGGCCTTAAGGGTGCCACTGGACTCCTTTGGATTGCTATCGGGGGGGGGGGGCTCTGCAACTTACCTGGCTGTTTCTTCCTTGTGGCCCGGGGCTGCTGGGAGCAGGGGGTGGGGCTTGTTGCATGTGCCTGCCCCTTGGGCTCTTTACTGCCAGAGCTCCGCTCCTGTGCGCTCCTGCAGGAAATGACCCCTGGGTATAGCAAACAATACACGTCAAAATGTAATAGGTTGGATCCTATGAACTGAGTAGGAAAAAAAGTAAAATATAGATTCCTTTGTTCCCTTCAGTCTTGTTTCTCTCCCCCACCTGATACTCTCGAAGGTTGGGGGTCCACTGGGATGTAGCACGGGGGAGGAGTTGCACAAACTCATCCAGGAAAGGCACAAGATGGGGGAGGGGGGCT